ATATATATTTTAAAATGAAGATAATATATTTTTTGCAAAGCCAAAAAATTACTAGTAGCATTTTTTAAAATTTAAATGCATACTACTAGGAGTAATATTTATGTTCTGTTTAGTATAATTATAATTTTAAATTTTTTATTTTGTTTTTAAAATTTAAATAATTAAAGATAAAAATTAAAAATTAAAATTATTACCTTATTAGATATAAAATTTTAAGACAAGCACTCTAACTTTTAAAACTTCTAAATTTTAAAAAGAAAAAGTGTATATTAGTTTTAACTCTCCAAATAAATTGGAGTTTTAATTTTAAATTACGTTATTTTATTTAATTAAAATTATATTTTAAATTTAAAAATTCATCATATTAAATATTTATATTTATATTTAAAAATCAATTATATTATTTTTAATATAATTAATTTTTAAATATAGATATCAATATTTAATATAATAACTTTTTAATTTTTAAATTAAGATTTTAGTTTTCAAATATAAGTATAAACTTTAATTCTTTTTAAAAATTAAAATTGATATCATTCATCTCTATTTAAAAATAAAAGTAAAAAACCAAAAATTTAAAGGTATAACCATCTTAAAGAGGCCTTCATTCTTTTATTTTTTTTAAGAGTAATGATAGGAAGATGAAAATTTTGAAATGAAAATTTAAAATTAATGATTTGATTAAATTAGTTAATAAATATAATATTATAAACTTTATCAAAATAAAAAAAATTAATTATTAAATAATGTAAAATTTATTTTTTAATATTTTAAATAATACATTATTAATCTTTAAATTTTAATTTTAATTTTTAATTTTATTTATTATTATTCTTTTTTAAATCTTTTCCTATTATATACTAACAAATATCCCGAAAGCGGTGGGAAACATGCGCAGCGTAGACAGGACACGTTCCCCGCTCCCCAATGTTTTAAAATTGGGGCCCACGCAACACTTTTTCTATTAGTTAATTATTAATTTTAAAACGGGGGACCGTGGGAATTCAGCAGCAGCACAAAACGAAGGGATTTTTTATTTTGCATTCTCAATATAGGATAAAAATGTAATAACCATATTATTTTATAATTAATATATAAAAATAATAAAAATTAATTTAAATTTGATTACTTAAAATTATTTATATAATAATAATATTCAAATAAAAATAAATTTTTATTATTTTTATATAAATTAATTATAAAAATATATATTTATTACACTTTAACGTAATTTTTTTAACATATACTTTTTAAAATATAAGTTATGTAAATCCAAAAAATGGGACATGGAACCGGCTTCTGCCTCCAAAACTAAATGCGCCCGCCGCCATTGCCTAACCATGGGTGCAGTCGGTTCACATAAATACCTCCTTCCTCCCTTCCTCTTCTCCAAGTAACCTTCTTTATCTCCTTTCTTATTAAGTTATTATTGCCTTCACTACCCAATCCTATAAATTCTTCTCTTTTTCCCCAATCCTGTAGCTTCATTGCACCACTTCCACCTTCCTTGTTCATTCCCTCATTCCAATTCCAATTCCAGTTCCCGCTCTCCTTAATTCTTGGTTCAGGTTTCTTGGTTTCTTGTTGCTTCTTGTGTTTCTTTGTGTCGATCAAATTTTGTTATGGGTTTTCAGGTTGTCTATTATTAATTCCTGTACCAGATTTGATACGTGTTCATTATTAAAAACAAGGAGAGTTGTTTGTTTTGACCGGTTTCTCTTAATTCTCTGCTGAATGGAGCTTACTCAAAATCATGTCCATTTCAGTTGCGTCAGAGACCTGAAGCGGTGGCTTTAGAGCTGAAGATCAACAATTGCAGAGCACAGAATCCACCCCTAAAAACATAGACACAGAGTAGAGAATCACCATGTCTTCTTCAACCTCTGTGGGTAGCTCCCAAGATCAAGAATCCGATCTTTCTGATTTGGAAAGCAGCTTTTGTCGTCCCAGCAGTTTTAGATTTAATGAATCCGCGACGTCTGGGGAAGGATTGGTGCAGTTATTCCAGGGCCAGAGGCCCTATGATCTTCTTACCGAAAGGTTTCTCTCCGGTTTGGGTCCTCCTCCTCTCCGCACCAATACCGAGGTGTTGGCAGTATACCAGAATAAGTACTCTGATATTCGCGGGCAAGGGATGATGCAAAACTTTGGGATTTGTAAGAAAACAATGGAGCAGAAGCATGGGGGCAATGCCAATGTCAACTTCGCTTGGTGCTCCGTAAGTAAAGATGAGATACCCAAGATTATTCAGTATGGATTCAGTTGCAGTATGCCCAAGAACGATGGGTCCTATGGCCATGGTGTCTATCTTACCCCTGCTAATTCTTCCCTGCTGGAATGGTAAGCATTATTTTTAATTTTTTTCAGACGAATTTTCATCAAAAAAAAATTTTTTATATGGTATAATTATTTTATTGTTGTTGTTGGTGATTTTGTTAGTAATTAATATATTAGTAGTTTCTTTGATTTCGCTCAGTGTGAAGAAGGCGGCTGTTGATGAAGATGGGTTGCGGCATGTGTTCCTATGCCGTGTCATATTAGGGAAGACAGAAGTTATTCAACCTGGTACGCAGCAGTGTTGTCCAAGTTCCAAGGAGTTTGATTCTGGGGTAGACAATTTATGGTCGCCTAACAAGTATATTGTATGGAGCACCCATATGAATGCGCATATCTTGCCTGACTTCCTCTTGAGTTTCAGAGCACCCTGTTGCTTAGAAGGTGGGTCGGCAAATGGCACAGCACATATTCTTGGTCGTCCATTGCATTTCTTGGTCACCAAGTTGTTTTACACATTCTTCGTTTTGACCGGCTCAGAATGAAGTTATTTTATTGACTAATATATTTGACTTTTTTTTTATTTTTTCTTAATCTTTTGTAGGGTTCCTCACGCCTCAAGTTCACCAGAAGATGCCAACATCACCCTGGCTACCATTTCCAGCTCTTTTGTCCGCGCTTTCAAAGTTCTTGCCGCCATCTGACCTTGCTTCGTTGACCAAGTATCACAGAGAACTCAGGGTAATTAAGGATTAATATTAATATTATTATTTTTTGTTTGACTTGGTGCCACAGGTTCCTCGTGTTGTTTACTTACATTAATCTTATGACATCCTTACAATTTTGTTTTCCAGGAGAAGAGAATAACACGGCATCAAATGATACAGCGCGTGAGACAACTTGCCGGAGACAAATTATTGGTTTCAGTCATCAAATCTTTAGGGGCTAAGCCTAAGGTACCAACAAAATAGAGAGGAAGTGTTTGTTTTTTTTTTTTTGGTTAAATGTTAAATTTGATCCCTCAACTTTATAGAGTTGCATTTTTTTTTGATCCCTCAACAATTTTTTACACCTTTTTTATCCTTCAACTCTAAAAAATATACAACATTAGTTCTTTCGTCAATTTGAGTCTTTAAGTTTGCTCATGTGACATTTTTTATATTTTGTTTGATGACATGGATAGCAAGGTTGGGTTCGAGCAACCAGTAAAACTGAATTTTGGTGAATCCAATAGTTGTGTTCATCTTGCTTGAACCCAGATCTATGAGGTTGTATTATCCATGTTATCAAACAAAATATGAATAATGCCACATGAGCGGACTTAACGATTCAAATTGACAGGAGAACTAACGTTATGCATTTCTTAGAGTTAAGGGATCAAAAAAATATAAAAAATTATTGAATGATCAAAAAATATAACTTTATAAAATTGAGAAACCAAATTTAACATTTAACTTCTTTTTTTACTAAACCCCATTATCCCAACTCAACATCAAACTCTACGAGAAAAAAACTCTTCTAATATCTATTTCTCTATTTATAAAACTTAAAATCAAAACCTTAATTAAGAGTGACAGAACTCTTTTTATTCGGATCAATAAGTTGTTGGTGAGAAGAAGTATTTGTATATATACATAGTTGTCATGTTTTACGGAATCACCAGTTTAGGCTTATAGTTAATCAGCCTGGAAGAAATAGCGAGTCTTGGTTACATTACAATCAAATTTAGGCCTTTTCTTTTCCCTCTATAACTAGATGGGATTTGTTATTGACCGTGCATCTGATTTGCTGAAAGCAATGTTTCAAGCTTGCTCGAGCCGCTGAACAACCGAGTGTGTGGTGTCCTTTCACTATTTCGACCTCTCTTTTGTTCTTGTATTTGAAGTATATAATGAAAATTACGTGTTGTGACATGGTACCCCAAACGCCAGCTAAAATGCTTACCTCTTTTTGTACCAATACCTGGTATTCTTATAGCGATGAGGTGATTGGTTTTAGTGGAATAAAATGTCTATCTGATCTGATATATATATTATCAGGGGTACCTGTGCTTTGTACCGCACATGTATTCTTAGAGCTTTGAGGATATAATTCATTATTCTCTCAAGTCATTCTGCTTCTGCTTCACCTGTAGATAGGGGGATGAGAAAAGGCACTTCTTGTGTTATTTACAATTAACATCGATCACACACTTATCTGATCATCTTAATTGTTGTGGCAATGGCAGGCCTCATCAGGGAGCTCTCAACGAATGATGAGCATGCGGGGTCCCAGGATTATATAAAATGCAATATGTAATATAATTAGAGACCAGACCGGAGGCAGTGTTGGTGAATCATCGTAAGAGTTGGTGTGTAGAAATTAATTGACATAGGTTTGGCTTGTTTTTCTTTGTTATGGTCATTTTGCTAGTGTTGTCATTCATTCTTGAAATTTTGGGCTTATGTGAATTAATTTTGGGTTAACATTGTCAGCTGTTCTTCTGGCTTTCAAATTGCATAAAAGCAGAAATGTAATTGATCAAGTGTAGGGTTTGGCCATTACATCCGTATTATTCATCCTTTGTTGATGACTTAAACCAATATTATTTTAGACACACAGCCTTGTGGAACTATTTCATACTTTCTTGGGCAAAAGTTTAGCGTAAGTAAAATCATATTCATAGGAAAACAATTGATGCAATGCAATAAAACTAATTCTCATTCTTCTCTCTTCTTATCTTTCCCTTCCTCCTTCAATCCCCCCCTCCCCCCCCCCCCCCATAATTCAACCAGGGCGTAGAGTTCATACAATTACATCTTAAAAATGGGGAACAAGATTTTAGTTGCCTATTCCCACAAACAATTGTTCTATGTCCCTGTAAGGTACAAACCTTACCTTTGCAAGAATAGCATTGGCGCCCATCCATCCGCACCAACTGAAAACCTCCCAGTTCTTAAATCTATAGCTTGCCTTGGCATCTAGGGGAACCCATCACTCATGCAAGAACAGGACTCCGACCAGAAGTATGATGCAGATTAGCAGCAAAGTTTCTTGCCCACAAGTCATAATGTTCAATTTCCTCCAAAGATGGGGTTGACACTATTTCTGCTTGGTGCTTCTCACATGTTAGTTCCACAAACTTGAAAATATCCAGATAGCTGATCCTGAAATCGGTGTACAATTCTTCAACTCAGCCTCTTATGCATAACAATGTATATTGCTTATGACATGGAAAGCAAATGGTCCAGTCAACATTATCATTACAAATTCATGTGAATATATAAGTTACACTTCAATACAAAGTAGAAACTACAATGCTACAGAAGGATAAATATGTATTATCTTAAAATTAAAGCTCCTCACATGCTTAATCTTTTTCTCTTTGTTTTTGGTAATTAAAATGCTTAATCATCTCTTTGTGTCTTAGAAGACCATTTTTGTTCCTTGTTCATTAATAATACAATACGTAATTAAAGAAAAGGATTTCATAACAACCATCACGTTCATTGAATATATTTGTCATGTCACCAGAGTAAATTTCGCATCTAGGTGGAAGGAAGGTAGAAACTAATCATAAAGTTGCAAACAAGAAATCTTCTATCAAAAAAAATACGTACTCTTCCTCGATGAACATTTCTACAGCTTTCTCATTAGCTGCACTGAGAACTCCTGTCATGGTGCCTCCAGCCCGTCCAGCAGCATAGGCAAGACCCATTGATGGATATTTTATATTGTCAGGAGACTTGAAGGTTAATGAACCAAGCCTGTATCATTCACGAACAAGTATAACTCAAACAAACAAGTAAACTGGTAAATATGTTTTCACCCAATTTTCTATTCCAAGCCACCAATGCAAGGTTCAAATGTAACATTCTATGACTAAGGTAATAACCAAAGGTTACAGAACCATCTAGGCACAATGTTTCGCTATCATAGTTGAAAAGGTGTTAGAAAATGGCCATTGAAAACAATCCTGGAATAACATACAGAATAATGGCAATGCAAACCCATAGGTGTCTGAACAAGACTAACTAGTTATGGGCTTAGACTGAAGCTAGATGCCTAGATCACAACAGTAGAACAAACTCTCAAAGTGATATTTGAATTATATGTAAAATCATTAAAACCAAGTGAATTTGAAATGATTAAATTAGCGAAAGTAAAAAGTTATTGGTGAAAGGACTACTTGCAAAGATCAAGGCGAGGCCAAGTTATTTCAGAGCAATATATTCTGTCTGGCCATGACATCGTGTAGAGGATTGGCAGCCGCATATCTGGCCATCCCATTTGTGCAAGAATAGATGAATCCTGAAAAGATATGATAACAGAATTTATGATGAGAAACAATGACAGATATCTTACTATATGTGGTCTCCAAGGCCTCGTTTAAATGGCATATGCGACCTCTGTAGCATAAGAAGCTGCAAGCAACTTGACAGAGATAAGAGAAGAACCTGTGTTTCAACCATTGAATGAATAATTGATTGTGGATGAATTACTATCTCAATATTACTGTACTCAGCTCCAAAAAGATAATGTGCTTCAATGACTTCTAGGCCCTGCTAATAGAGAAAGAATGAGAGAAATGTAAATGAGACCAAAAATATTAATTCAAAACACACTTCATGGAGTTTAAGATGAGACAACTGATAACAATAACCTTATTGAAAAGGGTTGCAGAGTCCACAGTAATTTTTTTCCCCATATTCCAGTTTGGATGTTTTAAAGCATCAGCTACTTTAACCTCTTTCAACTTATCAATAGGCCAATCCCTGTCAGTGATAAAGCAGACATATTATTTGATTCAGCCTCAAGATGAGATAGATAAAAATGAGAGAAACAACCCTAATTCTAGCGGAAATGGTAATAAAGTTCTCAACTAATTAACATTTGTGAGCTCTAGTGTCTAGATTAATGTCCAGCTGTAAAAAAAAGGGGAAAAAAAAAAAAGAGATGAAGGAACAAGCATTATATTCATGTTATGGTATTTGGCCTGCATTTACCTTTAATTTCCTCTCGTATCCTATTTGTCAACTTACAAGCCTAAATTTTCAAGGTTAAATTTTGATCGCACACCTGAAAGCCCCACCGGATGCAGTCAAAATGATACGCCGAAGTGCACCATCTGGCAAGCCCTGAATACACTGAAGGAAGGTAATTTGTATAAGCTTCTGTAGCTAACAAGCCTAGAATTGAGGAGGAGTAGAATGGCCAAATGGTTATGCAATTTTAGTAACAGGATGAACCAAGGAAATGTAGAGGTGCACAGATTCCAAGGAGAAAAAACACGACTTATAAGCCAACTTTGATCTGGTCCACGCACAAATTTCAAATATACTTTAGCTGTTCACTTAAATATTCATATCAATACCTGAAATATAGCAGAATGTTCCGAATCAGCTGGAAGAATCTTTACTTTATGCTTGTGAGCTAGAGGAAGGATAAAAGGACCACCAGCAATCAAGGTCTCTTTATTGGCCATAGCTATATCCTTTCCAGCTTCTATTGCAGCCACAGTAGGCTAAGAAAAACGTAAATGTGGAGAGTTTAGCTGGTTAGTTAATATAATATGATAACTGATATATTGGTTCTCTTCATAGTATCCTCATCTTAATTCTTGACAGTAAAATGTGCAATTCAATATCAATAGACTGTTCAAAACATTTTATTCAGTGAATACACATATATGCAAAGGACAAAAATGGTCACTGAAGAATGACTGTATATTCAGATGATTCTAACTTTTTGAGAGCTACATCATTTGTGCATGAATGTGTCATCAAGAGTTTCCTCCTATCCTGATTCTTGCCTTTATTCTTTTCATAATATTACTGATACTCATTAATGTTGATTTCTTCTCCGAAATAACAACTAAAATTAACTGCTTGTTTGGATATGCCTGCACTGTGCACCGAGAATAACATATTTCATAAAGAATTCCTATTAAGCCGATATCTATTTGGACAGATGAGAGTTGTGCCCATTCTGCATGCCATTGTTACAAAGTTTGACGATAATAAGCCAGACCCTTTTCTCTCTTTGGTTTCATGGAGGGAGGAATCCAGACCATCAAGCTAAAGCTGGCCAATAAGGTATACCTAAAATTTCCTTATCTCATTTTTTGCTTGAGTTTACATACTTAAGGTTTAAAATAAGACAAAGAAACCAAATATACGCCTATTACAGAAACTTACTTAAGGCTCAGCATTACAGGTCACATAATTCAGAAAATAAAAGAAGAAAAACAGAAGGATGCATAAACAAGAGATATATTACCCAGTACCTTTAATCCAGCACAACCTACTATTCCTGTAACTACAGTGACAGCATCTGGGTGGCGGGCAACCTGGAACAGTAAGCATTACCATCTAAATTATGGCATTTGATTTTAGTTTCCAAACAAAAGAAAAAACAAAAATTAGATGAAAGTACACCTCAATTATCCCTTGCTCTCCAGGAATAATTTCAGGCTTTTGTTCAACATTGGCCAAAGCCTCTTTCAGTTCACCAACTAATGACTCGTTTCTAACGGCAACCAGTTGGGGTCTAAATCTCTTCACCTGTAACATCCAAGAAAAGGTTACACAACATGTAAGCTTCTACATTTTAGATTTACTTTCATCTTAGAGAATGAATTAAGGTTGGTACTCATAAACAATAGTAGAGACCAAATAATATGTTGTAAGGTGTAATATGTTTATACATCTGTGACACATCAGAAACAGGCTCGTTCATGAGTTGAGATCCAAATTAAATCTCTAAATTGTTGCAAAGTTGGAAGTTGGAACAAGTGATATAATATATAGCAATTTCCCCAGAACCCCATGAAATGAGGCTGTTTACCTGATCAGCAAGAAGAGTTACATTTGAACCAGCAGCCAGAGCCACAATTTTGAACTTATCTGGATTCTCTGATATAATGTCCAATGTCTGCAAAAACCATTGATTAAAACAATGGAATGAACCCAAACTTTGGTGGCGTAAGTTTAATTTTCTTCTTACCTGAGTTCCAATGGAACCTGTAGAACCAAGAATTGAGATAGGTTTAGGACCATCCCAAGTCTTGCGGTCGGGGTCTGGAAAAGCTCGTCCTGGCCAGGCTGAAGGAGGTTGGTCCGCCTGAACTGAACATTGGATTCTACTCCCAAATGTTGTGCAGAAATCCTTCCTCTTCAAGGTGAACACTCCTAAAATTCACAAAGGAACAGACTTCAAAACACTTCCCCATCTGTACCAAACCAAAGAGCCAAAATTGAAAAAGCAAAAAACGAAAAAAATGTACAGGCAGTAAATCTGTACCAAAGCCAAAACATTTCTCCTACAATTCAAAGCAAATGGGGGAAGAAAGCGATGGAGAAAATAAGGAAAAAATGAACCAAAACTCAGAAACCAAAAAAACTAAAAGGGGTTTCCTTTCTGCAACCAAACAGAAAAGCAGTGAGAGAAATGAAGTAAAAAGAACCTGGAAATAGCTTGGGGAGGTTGGAGGACTTGGACTTGGCGGAATCGAGGAAGAA